TATATATATATTGTGTGTGTATATATTTTTTTTGTTTTCAGAAAATATTTAATGTTTTGGAGATTTAAAAAAATAGTGGATTTTAAAATGTATGTGAAAAAAATATAAAAATTTGTTTTTTAGCAGATATCACGGTATTTGGTTAATAATTTTTTTTTTTAAATAGGAAAATCCAATCTTATGGATGCCATCAGCTTTGTGCTGGGGGAGAAGACAAGTAACTTGCGTGTGAAAACTCTTCGCGATCTTATTCATGGAGCGCCAGTGGGAAACCCTGCCGCTAACCGCGCCTTTGTCAGCATGGTATATGAAGAAGACAACGCGGTAGAGAAGGTTTTTTCGAGACATATTATTGGTAAGGAGATTTATATTTGCACTTTCGTAGTAGGAGGAGTTTCTAAAATTGCCATCCTAATGGTGAAGCAGAACGTGGGGCGAACCGCTATTGAACGCACATGTTGCAGCGGTTGTCTGTTGCTGGCCCTGACTGACTCCGATACCGGAACTTCCGGTCAGAAGAAAGCGTCTGGTAGTGCCGATGGGGGAACATGGAACCAGCTTCCTGGGCAATCAGGAAGCCAGGCGGCGAGTAATGACCTGCCTTCCGGCTTCCTGGTTGGCCGGGAAGCCTGCTTCCCCGCCAATCAGCATCGAGCCAGCCATACAGCGGGCCCTTTGCTGATTGGACTGCCTGCAAGGACAGAAAGAAGTTAGGCATTAATATTAGGGATGCACCAATAACGGTTTTTCGGTACAGAGTGCCGATATTTATACTTTGGTACTCGCCAATACTGAGTACCAATACCGGTACTTCCGCTAGCATGGAACTGGCTTCCAGAGGCAATCTGGAAGCCGGGTGGCGTGTCATTACCCACCGCCCGGCTTCCTGATTGGCCGGGAAGCCGGCTCGATGCTGATTGGCTGGGAAGCGGGCTTTCCAGCCAATCAGCATAAAGCTGGCTTCCTGGCCAATCAGGAAGCCGGGAGGTGGGTCATTATTTGCTGCCCGGCTTCCTGATTGCCCAGGAAGCCGGGTGGCTCGATGCTGATTGGCTAAGAAGACTGTTTCCCGGCCAATCACAATCGAGCCCGCCAAATAACATGGAGTTGACTTTCCGGGTACTCGGTATTGGTGCATCTCTATTCTGCTGGGTATTATATGATAAAGGTAAATATACACAGTAGGTAATTTTTAAGGAACGGGCACATTTCCACCTGACATTGCTTGTCACCTAAGCACCTACCTCTGAAATGGGAGAGGCACGCGGCAATATACATATGGGCCACATACCTAGAAGTTTGGGTTTTCTAGATTTCTATCATATCTATGCTCCTGCATCAGTCTGCAGTCTGGAGCATACATTGTAGGGTGCCTGTAATGCAGTGTCAACGTTTCCTTTAAATGTTTCCCTATAATGCCAAATAAGATTTGCAGAAAGCCTCGATCACAGTTTTTACCATTTTTTTTTGACCGGATTGTATTCCTTCTCTCAGGCGGATCTTCTGAATATAGAATCAACAGCAAGGTTGTTCAACTGGCAGAGTACAGCGATAATCTGGAGAAGTTGGGGATCTTGATTAAAGCCAGAAACTTCCTGGTGTTTCAGGTACATGGATAACACGCTTTACACTTTACTGTAATCTTGCAGGTTCCCTGTGCGCAGATCCTGCTTGGCTCTCCTGTAGAAACAAATCCAAAAATTCAAAGCTCTTTTCTGGACAGGGGGCAGAATCGGGCCCTGAAATTGGGCTTTAAAGGATAGTTCTCCTTTAGGGAGACGGGAGGACACAAACTAGCGTCCTCCCGTTACCCGAGGCTCAGTATACTGAGACGCCGGAGCGGATCCCGACATGGACGTCGGGATCCGCCCAGCTGATGGGCATAGATCTCTTTAGGATTACAGGAGGACATATACAGTACTAACGTCCTCCTGTGACCCAAAACTCAGCATATAGCAGGGTATTGCCCGCTGTATGCTGACAGCGCAAGGCTGCACTGTGACCGGGACGGATCCTCTGCCAGCTGTAGATGAGTGCGTTTGCCATTTGTTTTGTTCCTCTGCCAGCTGTGCCCCAAGCTGTAATCTTTTATTCCAGCCGTAAGTTCTTACTGTGTAGTATTTTAATAACTGTAAGCCCTCATTCACACTGTAATCGGCCCGCAGGTACAGCAGGTGCTGCGTGCGCGGCCGTATCGGGCGGCTCCCGGGAAGGAAAGTAATATGAAAGCCAATTTTTTTTTTTTTTTTCATTTCCCTTTTAAGGAGACCCTCCTTTGCTGGAGGCTGTTGTTTTTAGTACTTCTTTCCTCATTTTCTAGTGTGTCCCCGCCATGCTCTTCCCTCCTGCCCCCTGCACGGGTGCCACCATCGTTCTAATGGAGGCGGCTGTGTGCGTCCATAGACACACACAGCCCTGTGGCAGGCAACGCCCCTTCCTTCTTTGATGGCAGAAAGAGCCTATGGCTGCACGGAACTGTGGGAATGCAGGGAACTGTGAGTGACAGTCACGGCTCTCTGCAGGGATAGATCGAGAAGTGAGAGAGCGACGGTATGTGTTCGCTCACTTCCTGATCTTCTGAGCTGACCTGTGACAGTCTCATTGTCACACGTCGGCTCAGATTATTAGGCTGAGTGAAAATCACTCCCCTCATAGTTCTCCTTTTAAGCAATACAGCTTGATAGCCATGCCCCTCCCCCAGCACCTCTGTTCAGGAAGGGAGTTCAAGCCACTCGGTGCTCAATTGTTTTGACTGCAGTCAGAGTTCTGCTGTTTTCTGCTTTCCCAGGAGGCCTTGTATGTGAAAGTTTTGATAATTTTAATAAATGCGTACCTGGTTTGGGTTGCATGGTACAGAATATTGTGGCTAATGTTCAGCTTTAAAGGAGAACTATGAGGGGGGGGAGGGGCTTTTCACTCACCTCATAGTTGTAGCCGACCTGTGACAATGAGACTGTCACAGGTCGGCTTAGTAGATCGGGAGGTGAGAGAACACATACCGGCGTTCGCTCACCTCTCGATCCTGTCACGGCTCTTCCGTGACAGGGGAGGGGCTGGATTCCCCTCTCCCCGCTCCGATCATCCAGCGCTGACTGGCGGAACGGACGGGGGAGGGGGCGGGTACAGCTGGCTCTGCCTCTAGATAGGAGGAGCCAGCTGTCACTCACGCAGCTGGGCGGATCTCGACATCGATGTCGGGATCCGCTGCGGCGTCCCGGTATACCGCGAGCTGTAGCTCCCTATATACTGACCTTAGGGTGACGGGAGCACGTTGTTTGTGTCCTCCCGTTACCCTAAGGAGAACTATGGGGAAAAGCCTTAACCTCATAGTTCTCCTTTTTAAATGAAACTTTGCTTTTGTTGCAAAAATCACCCCTTACCTCGGTTATGTACCATGCAAGGATTTTAGAAATCATTTCCGACATTTACTTGGTGCTGATCTGTATATACTGACCCAATTATTTCTCACTTCTTCCTTCCCATGTGCCAAGTGGGAGGGCTGGGAAGCAATTATAAATGTTTGGTGTCCTTTCCTCTTTCATGTCACAGATACATTTTTTTTTTCTTCAATTCTCTTCCTGTAGGGCGCAGTCGAATCCATTGCCATGAAGAATCCCAAGGAGCGTACGGCTTTGTTTGAGGAGATCAGCAGGTCGGGGGAACTGGCAGCAGAATATGATAAGCGCAAGAAGGAGATGGTTAAAGCAGAGGAAGACACGCAGTTCAACTATCACCGCAAGAAAAACATTGCTGCGGAGAGAAAGGAGGCCAAACAGGAGAAGGAAGAGGTCGGTTTTATGCTGATGTGTAAACGTTTGCAGCCAATCCCAGAGCAGCTTCACACGGGGAAATGGTTCACTCTACGTTAGAGGTGCACCGAAAATAGAAATTTAAAAACCGAAAATTAAAAAAATTGTCAGGCTGAAACCGAAAATGTTTTTATTTTAATTTTTTCCCCCAATTTTTACAATATTTTACTTTTATTTTTTATAAGCGTTTTAATTTTTTAATATTTTTATTTTTTTATTTTTTTCCATTACTTTAATGGGCTACAGGGAAATATTAGGGGTCTAAACAGACCCCTGATATTTCCCTTTTTAAAATAGAAAAAGAGATTGAGGACGCAGAGTCCTCCAATCTCTTTGTTATGAATCTCATTCATAACATGAGCACAGAGTGTGTTTACTATAACCACAATCATGAATGAACAGGAAGTGATGTAGATCACTTCCCATTCAGTCATAATTGTGGCTATAGTACACATACCATGTCCTCAATTATCTACAAACACTCAGCGACCGCTGAGTGTTTGCCCTCCTCTCTGACACACGCTGTCACAGGAGGCTGAGCGAGCGGAGCAGGGAGGAGAGCTCGGCCCCCTGTGACAGCGCAGTCTCCGCCCCCACACCTCAATCTGACCACTGAACTATCACATTCTCAATCACTTCCTCCCCACACAGCTCCCTCCTCATGTATCACTGGCCCCTCCCTTTTAGATTGTAAGCCCCCAGAGGCAGGGCCCTCCTTACCGTCTTGAATTGTATTGTGATTGTAATGTCGTCTTTATATTGTAAAGCGCTGCGCACACTGTTGGCGCTCTATAAATCCTGTATAATAATAATCTTTTGTGAATTATTTGATAACCCGGCCATTCTCTTTGTAGGCCGAGCGTTATCAGCGCTTGAAAGACGAAGTGATTCGAGCCCAGATCCAGTTGCAGCTGTTTAAGCTGTACCACAATGAGTGTGAGATTGAGAAGCTGAACAAAGAGCTGGGAACCAAGAACAAGGACATAGACAAGGACAAGAAGCACATGGACAAGATCGAGGAGGAACTGAAGGAGAAGAAGAAAGACCTGGGCAAAATTATGAGAGAGCAGCAGTCTATAGAGAAGGAGATCAAGTAAGTCCTAATAAAGCAGCAGAGGGCAGCGATTCATTTTCCTGCACGCTGGAGTCTCAGGAATTTGTACAATGTGCTGAACGCTGTCAGGTCCTCGCTAAAAAACACGTCCAGAAGAGACCGGGCTTTGACTAGCTGGGCGGAGAATTGTATTTAGCACAAAGAGGTTCAGAAAGGACATACAGACGAGTCATTAAAAGTATAGAAAATTCATATTTTAAAGGAGAACTATGAGGGGGGGGGATGAAAATCACTCCTCCTCATAGTTGGAGCCGACGTGTGACAATGAGACTGTCACAGATCGGCTCAATAGATCGGGAAGTGAGCGAACACATACCGGCGCTCGCTCACTTCTCGATCTATCCCTGCAGAGAGCAGTGACTGTCACTCACAGTTCCCTGCAGGGATTCCCCCCGCTCCGATCCTCCAGCGCTGACTGGGGGAACGGACGGGGGAGGGGGCGGGTACAGCTGGCTCTGCCTCTAGATAGGCAGAGCCAGCTGTCACTCACGCAGCTGGGCGGATCTCAACCGTAAATTCGGGATCCGTCCCGGCTGCGGCGGTCTCAGTATATAGAGAGCTGCGATATACTGAGCTTTGGGTGACGGGAGGACTCTAGTTTGTGTCCTCCCGTTACCCTAAGGAGAACTACGGGGAAAAGCCCTGACCCCATAGTTCTTTAACCAGTCGGAAATCTTGTTTAAAGGAGAACTATGGGGTCAGTGTTTTTCCCCATAGTTCTCCTTAGGGTAACGGGAGGACACAAACTAGAAGCGCCCACAGTACATCAAAGCCAAGGAAAACACTTCTCACAAGATCAAGAAGTTGGAAGCAGCTAAAAAGTCGTGTCAGAATGCCCAGAAGCAATATAAGAAACGTAAGGCAGATATGGATGAGCTGGAGAAGGAGGTGCAAGCTGTGGAGAAGGCCAGACAGGAGTTTGAAGAGAGGATGGAGGAAGAGAGTCAGAGTCAAGGCAGAGACCTTACACTTGAGGAAAACCAGGTACAGCGAACTGTCGTGCGCACGAGACGTCTGCGTCAAATCCCCCCCCCCTCCTGTCCTGTCCCGCTGAGTGTGGAAATACCTGGCTTAGCATAGCTTTAGTTGTTTTTTTTTTCCTCATCTTTCCCTTTTTAGGTGAAGCAATACCACCGCTTAAAAGAAGAAGCCAGCAAGAGGGCCGCCACCCTCGCCCAAGAATTGGAGAAATTCAATCGCGATCAGAAGGCCGATCAAGATCGCCTCGATTTGGAGGAGAGGAAGAAAGTGGAGACTGAGGTATGAATGAAAGCTAGAGGTGCACCGAAATGGAGACGCCAAAACCTGAAATAAAAAAAAAGCCAACCCGAAAATGTTTATTTTAATTCTTTCAAATTTTTAAAATGTTTTATTTGTATTTTTTATAAACTTTTTAATTTTTTTAGATTTATTTTTATTCATTTTTTTTATTAAATATTTTGTTATGTTTTATTTTTAGGGGCTTCGGGGAAATATTGGGGGTCTAAACAGACCCCTGACATTTCCCTTTTTAAAATAGAAAAAGAGATTGAGAACACAGAGTCCTCAGAGACACACGGAGCCCTCAATCTCTTTATGTGCAGCCCCGTGATATCATGATATCAATGAACAGGAATCCTCTATACTGAGTGTTCCTGATCATTCATAGCATGAGGACAGAGTGTGTTTACTATAACCACAATCCATGAATGAACAGGAAGTGATGTAGATGTGATGTAGATCACTTCCCATTCATTCATAATTGAGGATATAGTCAACATGATATGCCCTCAATTATTTACAAACACTCAGTGATCGCTGAGTGTACCCACTCTTCATCCTGACACGCTGTCACAGGAGGCTGAGTGAGCGGTGCGGGAGGAGAGCTCCGCCTCCTGTGACAGCACGGGCTGTTCCGCCCACACACCGCTCTGCCGCACTGTGATAGGCGGCTGAGCGGTGTGGGGAGGAGAGACGGCGGCCGCTCACGGCGATCTCCGGCAGCGGTCGGCCGGCTGTCGCACTTTCTCTCCTCCCCGCTGGACACAAAGCAGCGCCCAGCGGGGAGGACAGAAAGCAGGGGTGCCCCGATGTATCGGCACTTTCGGCATTTAGTGCCATTTTCGGCCGATATATCGGTGCATCCCTAATGCAAGCCATTTTACCACAGCTTGGATCTAGATATAATGAAGCTGTAATGAACCAGCATATTGACAGTTGTTTTTATCTATTCATCTTTCAGGCGAAAATCAAACAGAAATTGCGTGAAATAGAAGAAAACCAAAAAAGAATCGAAAAATTGGAGGAATATATTGCTACCAGCAAGTATGGGGCATCTGCATTTTATTTTCTTGCGTGAACTTTTCTGTGCCATGTGCTCTCTGTTACCCTCTTAGCGAGAAAACTTGTTAGAGACTTTGTCGCTTTGCCCATGTATACATTCACACTCATGCTACATTGTGTGGCGCCATGATGTCATCCCCCTGTCTAAGCTTACACTGCAGCTTGGATGGGCATTATGCCAGGGGGTGCATGGCTGGCTATGTGTGCAAACACTGTCACTTTGCCCATTTAGAACAAAGTGACAGTGCCCTTAAAAAGCCCCCTCACCCCCCAGGCATGTATGTCCTTACTGTTGTATATATTAATTAAAGGAGAACTGTGAGGTGAGTGATTTCCACTCTTAGTTAGAGCTAACCTGTGACAAAAGAAGCTGTCACAGGTCGGCTCTATTGATCGGAAAGTGAGCAGAAACATGCCGATCCGCTCACTTCCCGAACGTCTCCCTGCAGTGCGCGGTGACTGTCACGGCTCCCCACAGGGGTCTCCCCCCCCCCTCTCCGATCCTCCAGCTCTGAGTGGAGGAACGGGAGGGGGCGGGCACAGCTGGCTCTGCCTCTAGATAGGCAGAGCCAGCTGTCACTCATGCAGCTGGGTGGATCTTGACAGTATTTTTGGGATCCGTCCCGGCTGCGGCGGTCTCAGTATATTGCGATCAATAGCCTGCTATAGACTGAGCTTTGGGTCACGGGAGGAGGTTGGTATATGTCCTCCTGTGACCCTCTAGAGAACTATGGGGAAAAACACTTACCCCATAGTTCTCTTTTAAGAAATGCACTGATACTAGTATCGGTGCCGATGCAGAGTACTCTTACTCTCCCAAATGCTCTGATTTCTTCCCCTATAGCGGACCTTACGGTCAGAGGGAGATCTCCTCTGACCGGGAGTGCCACGAGGAAACATGGAGCCGGCTTCCGGGCCAATCAGCATGGAGCCGGCTTCCCGGCCAATCAGGAAGCCGGGCGGTGGGTAATGACACGCCACCCGGCTTCCAGATTGCCTCTGGAAGCCAGTCCCATGCTAGCGGAAGTACCGGTATTGGTACTCAGTATTGGTGATAACGAAAAACCATTATTGGTGCATCCCTAATATTAATGCCTAACTTTTTTTTTTTTTCTGTCCTTGCAGGCAGTCCTTGGAAGAGCAGAAGAACCTTGAAGAGACATTGACCGAGGATGTGGAAATGGCTAAGAGGAGAATTGATGAGATCAACAAGGAGTTAAACCAAGTGATGGAGCAGTTGGGAGACGCCAGGATTGATCGCCAAGAGAGCAGCCGGCAGCAACGCAAAGCTGAAATCATGGAGAGCATTAAGAGGCTGTATCCTGGTTCTGTGGTATGGGCATTTTGTTTTGTGCTTCATAGAGAGCGTTTCCTACTGATTTTGGTTTTGGAATGTCTTAGGCAGAGGTTGCCAGACTCCAGCCCTCCAGCTGTGGGTGAAACTACAAACTCATGAAGCATCTCTCTCCCGGAGTCGTGGCTGTGAGAATCTTGCAATGCCTCATGGGGATTTGTAGTTCCACCCACAGCTGAAGGGCCGGAGTTTGGCTACCCCTGATGTTAGGGGACAACTTTTAGTAACCTTGTCCTGTTCCCATCCTACATACCAAAGTACTTTGCCTCATCCCTGCTTCCGTACCCTTTACTTTGTGGGCCTGCCTGGAGCCGCACAGCCTTTAGAGCACACGTGTCAAACTCAATGCCGAGGGGCCGAATCCGGCCCACCCGGCTTTTTCCTAGACTTCTACTTTCAGATCTAGGTATTAAGTTGTTACTAAAACCAGTGATAATGGAATGCAGAGGCAATTATGATGAAGATTAGATACATTTATATAGTCTTACAGATACCTTTTGAGGGCAACCATAATGTTGATGCGGCCCACCATTACATTGAGTCTGACACCCCTGGTTTAGAGTAAGGTCCTGGACCAGTTATGTGAATGAATAGGCCAAGAAATCCGCATGTAGAACAGGAGCTGGCTGTGTAGCCTGGACTTTTTTTTTCACTAAAACTGAAGTTGTCCTTTAAAGATTATTATGTGCACTTTCATTACTTTTGTCCCTGCACTCATCAAAAAAGTCAACTGCCAGGGATACCTAGTTTGGTGATAACCAGAAGTTTGGGAATACCGGGCCCTCAAGTCTGAAAGCAGTGTGTTAAAGGAGAACTATGGGGTCAGTGGTTTTCCCTATAGTTCTCCTTAGGGTCACGGGAGGACACAAACTAGCGTCCTCCCGTCACCCAAAGCTCAGTATATAGGGAGCTACAGCTCGCGGTATACTGAGACGCCGCGGCCGGGACGGATCCCGACATTACTGTCTGGATCCACCCAGCTGCGTGATTATCTGCCTATCTAAAGGCAGAGCCAGCTGTACCCAAACACCCCCCCGTCCATTCGTCCAGTCAGCGCTGCAGGATCGGACAGGGGAGGGGGGGGGGAATCCCTGCAGGGAACAGTGAGTAACAGTTACGGCTCTCTGCAGGGATATGATCGAGAAGTGACTGAGCCCTGGTATGTGTTCGCTCACTCCCCGATCTATTGAGCCGTGTGACAGTTTCATTGTCGCACGTCGGCTGGAGCTATGAGGCTGGGTGAAAATCAGTCACCTCATAGTTCTCCTTGAACATCATCTTTTGTAGCCACCTCTAATGCTGGCGGTGAGCAGCTGGTGCAGGAAGAGAGGATGCAAACACACTGCTCCCAGGCTGAAGACCCCTGTGATAACACATGCTTATCAGCCAAATGGGTACCTCTCCGTACATTATTGCAGAGGGATGAGCTCCTTCATTGTCTAGTTACCAGGGGGCATGCTGGTGACCAAGCTGCTTGCTAAACTGAAGTCAAAGTAGTAACGAGCCCTGCTATGCTTTGACAGGGGTGCCCAGATCACAAAACTGGCTAACCAGAGTTTCAGATATTGCGGCAGGTAGCAAAGTTTACTGGGAGTTCAGCTTAAAACTATATAGTCCTCGCTATGATACCATCAGGCTTTCCGGGTAGCCACCTTTTGATATTAGGTGACAGGACAGTAACCTGTGACAGTCACTGAAGCCGGTTAATGCTCACGGATGCAAGCGTCTCTCTGATCTACTTGAGAACCTATTCGTGAACTTGGCATTCGACGCCACGATCCAGTACGAAGATATAATACTGTTATGTACATGAGTGTAATATGAATACTACGCCATATGCCATGTTTTGTAACACTATTTTGTCTTAACCTCAATACAAAAAAAAAAACGACATAGTCCTGAGCCGTGCGGTCTGCAGCTAAATCACACCGGGCAAATTAAGCTTCCCAATGGTCACTGGACAGCATTTGGTATTTGTAGAACTGGTTACACACTCATTCTAAAACGTGTAAACCCTGAAAATCCGATTCTTCTCTTTGCTACAGTATGGGCGTCTGATTGACCTCTGCCAGCCCACTCAGAAGAAATACCAGATTGCAGTCACCAAGGTGCTTGGCAAAAACATGGACGCCATCATTGTTGATTCGGAGAAGACTGGCAGAGACTGCATCCAGTATATTAAAGAGCAGCGAGGAGAGCCAGAAACCTTCCTTCCTCTGGATTACTTGGAGGTATTTCTTTCATTCTTTTGACATTGTTATGGGAATTTACTATGGATGACTTTCATACGCTGGGTTTGAATGGTTCAGTTGCATATTTCACCTGTAGTGCTCCACACCTATATGCTAATACAAGAATAGAATGTAGGTTCTGGCAACTTAATATGCCTTAACAATTTTACCGATTTGATTTCTTTCTCCTGTTTAGGTAAAACCCACTGATGAGAAGCTGCGTGAGCTAAAAGGAGCAAAGCTGGTGATTGATGTCATCCGCTACGAGCCGCCACACATCAAGAAGGCTCTGCAGTATGCCTGCGGTAATGCCCTGGTGTGTGATAATGTTGAAGATGCTCGTCGGATAGCCTTTGGAGGACATCAGAGGCACAAAGTACGTAGCCAATGAGATCATTAGAATGCTAAACTGTTATAGTGTGTCCTTGTACAGCCAAGCTGGAAGTGTCATGGTGTAATTTTTCACTCATCCTCATAATCTGAACCGACCTGTGACAATGAGACTGTCACAGGTCGGCTCAGTAGATCGGGAAGTGAGCGAACACATATATACCGTCGCTCGCTCACTTCTCGATCTATCCGTGCAGAGAACCGTGACGGGAGGGACTGGATTCTCCCCCCCCCCACCCCCCCTATCCGATCCTCCAGCGCTGACTGGCGAAACGGACGGGGGAGGGGGCGGGTACAGCTGGCTCTGCCTCTAGATAGGCGGAGCCAGCTGTCAGTCATGCAGCTGGGTGGATCCAGACAGCAATGTCGGGATCCGTTTCACCTGCGGCGTCTCAGTATACCGCGAGCTGTAGCTCCCTATATACTGATCTTTGGATGACGGGAGGACGCTAGTTTGTGTCCTCCCGTGACCCTTAGGAGAACTATGGGGGAAAGCCCTGACGACATAGTTCTCAAGTTCCGGTCTACTTTAACTTATTCATATATTATCAGAAGCTATTTGGAGTATTTTTAAAATCTGCAGCTTTCATTAAAATAATACCAGGATATCCTGCCATGAAGGTCCTTCTTGAGACACTTCTTGTTCTAAGCCGACAACCCTCGGTCCTTATTTGCGTTTGTCACCTTGTCATGTGTGCTTTCAGTGGAGACTACAAGTGGCTGTTCTGACACACCTGCAGACACGATCCACTGTTGTCACCAACAGGAAACCCAGACCATGAAATCTCTCTGCAGACATTGCTGGAGCGCATGTAGACAGGAAGTGGCTGCATAGAAGCTGCTGGAGATCAACTCAAATGTAAAGGATGAGAAAAGTTGCATTGCGTCAGTGCGGTGCTTTAGCAAATATGTCATGCTGAGTATGAGTTTGGGGGACGTGGCTGCTGTGGTTCACTTGTGAAGGACGTCGGGGATGTGGAGAGTTGCATGGGCGGATCTTTTCAAGCTTCCTGCAATCCTTATGGTCATTTGGTCTGGACTGACAGGTTCTTGGAATACGAACAACCCTGACAAATTGATCCAAGTACAGCTTAACTACAACTAGGATAAGCACAGGCGACCCTGCATCCTCATCTGCCCTTGGAGTCCTTCAACTGATTAGCCCCGGGGGTCCCCAGGACAATTCTGGTTATTTCGGTGGATTACTATCCCCGTTTCCACTCGACACAGGGCACTCTGCCCATATCCAATGACCTCCAGTGGTTGATTAGTCCATGATCCCCTGATGAAGCAATGTGTGAAATGCGTTGGGACTGGACCTACTGATCTCCCACTGAATACATACACTGAGTATTTTATGAAGGATAATTGGATACAAGAGGGTATAAGATGTTTTATGGGCCTATGCTCCTGTTCAAAATGAATTTGTTTAGTGCAAAGAAACTGTATACATGTTTTTACTCATATGTAAAATAAATATATTTTTTTATACAAACTATTAATGCTGTAGAGGTATACCTCTCATGAGCCCCTGCGTTCTCTCTATTGTTGCTAATGCCTATTACCTAAGGGGGAGAGGTTTCACCAGGGGGCCGCTGTGCTAGCAACTCACAATTGTGTTGTTGGAGTATGAGTTTACATCGACATTCTAAGCAGAATTCTGAACTCTGAACTGACTTGCAATGATATCGTTTTCTAACAACTCCTCATTTTCTTCTTCTGGCAGACTGTTGCTTTGGATGGCACTCTGTTCCAGAAGTCTGGTGTGATCTCTGGTGGTGCCAGTGACTTGAAAGCCAAAGCCAGGCGATGGGATGAAAAAGCAGTGGATAAACTCAAAGAAAAGAAGGAAAAATTAACGGAAGAGCTAAAGGTGAGCTGTGCGTGTGATATGTAAATGATCGGCTGCGGTTGAGTGATGTCAGTTGCTTGCAGTGGAGGGGGCTAAGGGCCTGTTCACATGAGTTTCAGGTCCTGATCAGGTCCGGATCTGCAGACGCGGTGCTAATGATGCAGTGCGTTTTGGCCGCGTTTTTGATGCGTTCCAGTAAAAAAAAAAAAAAAATTGAGTGGGGCTGTTAGTATGTTAGCTGCAGTGCGTTTTTGACGCGTTTGCGTTTCCTGACCGTACAAAATGTGACATGCAGTATTTTTCTGTCGTAAGCTGAACGAACTGCGCATGTGAGAACTGTAGCCCATAAAACACATAGGGATACATTGGGATGCATTTTGAGTGCAGGAGCGTACGGATCAGGTCAGCACACAAAACGGACGTCATAGTTACATAGTATTTGAGGTTGAATAAAGACATTAGTCCATCAAGTAGAACAGGCATGAGAGCGCGCGCGTGTGTGTGTGTGTGTGACTGTCACTACTGGCATGTTCTGCCTTCTGAGACCCCCGGGATACATGGGCATCATCAATGTTTGTGCATTTCCACTTTTGCAGGCAAATTGGGAAAACACGTACTTTATATTTGTCGTTTTGCCATTCACACAGCATGACTTTACATGCAATAAAGGAAAAACCAGTACTGAGACTTCCTACTTGGCTCTCCCCATCCGTATAATGTTTGAGGGTGGTGGTGAGTTGTTTACCATAATGAACCCTGTCATGTGCTGTCAGATCTCATTATCAGTTGTGAACTAGATGTGCACACTGTCCAACTAAAAGGTTAAAGATATCAAGGCTTGGGTTATGCATTATATGAATAGATCACAACAGGTAATATAATATAACAAAGTTTAATGAATTTCAACACTATACTTCTAAAGACACCTATAACACGACATTTAAAAACAGTTAAAAAGCGCTTCCCCGGAATCACCTGTGTATAATGATACGGGTACTGAACATTTGAATCTCCTGCGGGGCAGGAAGTCTCTGATTGAGATAAAGATATATCCACAGTAGAAAAAACGGAGTTGTACTCACATTATATGTAACCGGTAAAAAGATAATCCTGGTTAGATCCCACAACGATACATGCGTGTAGTTGTTTTTGGAAGGAATGTGTCCTTATGTAGCAGTTTCACTCCATATGATCTATTTCATTGATGAATCTGAAGTTCCATAGGTGCTTATCTCCCCATTCGATTGGACTCACACCACTGCACGAAATAAGGGTATCAACCCCAGCCCCGGCATCGGGGGGGGAAACGCGTCAGGATAGCGTGTGTTTCAGCTTCCCAAGACACCTTCTATTGACCTTTTACACGTTCGGGTGAGAACGAAAGCAAAGAACCTCTACAGCCTCCGAAGGAAATAGACCCATCAAACCCGGTGCGGATATTGCCGATCACGGCGGCAGCGGTTCCGGTCTACCACAGCTAAACCCGAGAGACCGGAGCGAGTCACTGTCTATTTCAGCCGAGGCACTAAACCAGGAGACGTAGGCGAGTTAAAGCCAGTGTGTTTTACACGCAGCTTCCGTCTCGTGCCGTGTCACTGGGTACACCGCTGTGGAGACCCCACCACACTCCACTCTACAGTGCGGCCGCTCAGGTTGGGAACCCGTGTTGGAGGCTCCTGTTCTGGGGTTGATACCCTTATTTCGTGCAGTGGTGTGAGTCCAATCGAATGGGGAGATAAGCACCTATGGAACTTCAGATTCATCAATGAAATAGATCATATGCAGTGAAACTGCTACATAAGGACACATTCCTTCCAAAAACCACTACACGCATGTATCGTTGTGGGATCTAACCAGGATTATCTTTTTACCGGTTACATATAATGTGAGTACAACTCCGTTTTTTCTACTGTGGATATATCTTTATCTCACTCACATCAGAGACTTCCTGCCCCGCAGGAGATTCAAATGTTCAGTACCCGTATCATTATACACAGGTGATTCCAGGGAAGCGCTTTTTAACTGTTTTTAAATGTCGTGTTATAGGTGTCTTTAGAAGTATAGTGTTGAAATTCATTAAACTTTGTTATATTATATTACCTGTTGTGATCTATTCATCAGATCATTTCCATTTTTTAGGGATTTCTGTTTAGGGGGGACTGTATCTTTTTTGAACAAATGCATTGAAACCCTAGAATTTGGTCATTACTATATATTGTTACTCAGCGTGAAGCTCCTGTATGTGCCCCCTTTTTTTGGGTTATGCATTATATGTTGCAGTGGTGGAACAATCACCATAGCGACCCAGGCGGCCGCTATGGGGTCCCGGCCAGGGCATCCCCCTGACGCGGTGCGGGCCACCAGGGTCGCTATGGCATCTCAGGCTGCTGGCTGTCGCTGGCGGCTGTGAGGAGGAACACGCCGCTGTTCAGATCATTGACAACCTGCAGCGGCGCGTTCCTCCTCACAGCTGCTGCTGCTGAGGCAGTGACAGCCAGCAGCTGCGGGGGGACGCCATGCGCACTAGCTCCATCTGCTGTACATTTACTGGCAGTCATGTGACGTGCCCAGTCAGAGAGCTCGACAAGTCGGAGTTTTCGATAGAACACCGGCGTCGCAGCGAAAGAGGAGGTGGGGTCCGGCAATGGAGGAAGCAGGGCCCAGCGACGGAGGAGGCAGAGAGCGATCGGGGCTGACAGGTTTGACCAGCCCACCTGAGACCCTGCAGAGCCCACCATAGAGAGTCTATGGTGGGCTCTGCAGGGTCTCTCTCAGGTGGGTTGTTTGGGATATCAGGTGGGCGTAACTAGAAATCACAGGGCCCCATACAAAATGTTGCAATAGGGCCCTGTGATTTCTAGTTACGCCCCTGGTATGTTGCATGCACTTTTGGTCCGATCTGTCCCTAAAGAAGCACATTGCAAGTTATTCTGAACAATACAAGCTGCCTAATAGACTCCAGTGTATAATCCTGCTCCAAAGAAGCAGCTAGAGGTCAGAAATATAAGTAGGCTGTGTGAATGAGAAAACATGACAAACATATGTTGGGGGTTCTTAAATTTGGTTGCAAAGGTGGAAATACACTTTAATATAAGAATGAAATTCGCTTGTATGTGTGCAGTGAACTAGTTCACATACCTAACACGGTGAGCAATTTTTTTTTTTTCCCCTTCTCTCTAGGAGCAAATGAAAGCCAAGCGTAAGGAGGCCGAGCTAAGACAAGTCCAGTCTCAAGCTCACGGTCTGCAGATGAGACTTAAATATTCGCAGAGTGATCTGGAGCAGACCAAAACCCGACACTTGGCAATGAACATGCAGGTAATACCAGTCACTCTCCTCTGGAGTTTTAAAGGCCATCTCCACCTTTCAGAAAGAGAAGACAGTGGCCCAGCAGATGTAAAAATATTACAGGAGAACTATGGGGTCAGGGCTTTTCCCCATAGTTCTCCTCAGGGTAACGGGAGGACACAAACTAGCGCCCTCCCATCACCCTAAACTCAGTATATAGGGAACTACAGCTCGCGGTATACTGAGACGCTGGAGCGGATCCCGACATCGATGTCGAGATCCGCCCAGCTGCGTGAGTGACAGCTGGCTCTGCCTATCTAGAGGCTGTACCCGCCCCGTCCGTTCCGCCAGTCAGCGCTGGCGTATCGGAGCGGGGGGAATCCAGCCCCTCCCCTGTCACGGCAGAGAGCCGTGACAGGATCGAGAAGTGAGCGAACACCGGTATGTGTTCGCTCACCTCCCGATCTACTGAGCCGTCCTGTGGTGACAGTCTCATTGTCACACGTCGGCTAGAACTATGAGGAGTGAAAAGCACCCCCCCTCATAGTTCTCCTTTAAAGCAGCTCTGTTGCAATGCTAGCTTGCTGTTCATTGTTGGCTCCTGCAGACTTGCCGCTCTGCAGGTCCTCTTCCCGGTTAAACAATGCCCAGTGTTGTTCAACCCATTATCTGTGAGCCCAGGCTATCATTGATGCACCCCTGTGGGCACATCACGCCAACCTGGGCTCGTTGTACTCCTGGACAGCATGGTGCTCACACCTCATTATGTGAGCACCACGCTGTCCATGAGTAAGGATCGCCAAAGAAAAGGAAGGACCAGTGACTGGCCAGAAGCTTAAACTGTTTGTTGTAATCAAACAAATGTACTTTTCATTGTTGGGTTGAGGATACAAGCTTTGCGTTTTCTTACCCAGGAAAAATCCAAGCTGGAAAGTGAGCTGGCCAACTTCAACCCACGGATCAATGACATTAAAAAGATCATTCAGAGCCGCGACAAGGAGATGAAGGACTTGAAGGAGAAGATGAATCTGGTGAGTAATAAAATCAAATATCTGCTTTTGTGTTTTCAGACCTAGTAGGTATCAAACCACCTTGTATAGTCCCAAGATGTCCAAGCACCCGCACACCGATGACGTCGCTCCATAAGGACCACTTTATTAGGCTTCAAGACATGGTGCACAGTCCCAGCTCTGATCCACTCTCTCATCCCTCGTATGTTGTAGACTCGCTCAGTGTTCTTGGCCATTAGATTTCTCTTCTGAACTGTTACTAGTTCATCTTGGCACATGCATTGCTCACATCCATTTTTGTAAAGTTTGGGGGGCTTTGGTGTCGCTCTACAGGGAAGTTCCGCATTTTGACATTTCCCACTAAAATACATAGTTACATAGTATTTGAGGTTGAATAAAGACATTAGTCCATCAAGTCCAACCTATTAGGATCTCATTCTTAGGAGTACTACTTGTACCCCCGTATATATTACCTGTACCCCCGTATGTTACCTGTACCCCTGTATATTACCCGTACCCCTGTATATTACGGTCCCTTAGGAAATCGTCCAAAAGTTTCTTGAACAATTCCACATTCTTTGCTGAGATCGCCGCCTGTGGCAGTGAGTTCCAGACCCTAACTGATCTTACTGTGAAGAACCCCCTTCGCCCCTTGTGCTGGAATTTTTTTTCCACCAATTTTAGGTGGTGGCCTCTAGTTTTTGTAATGGAGTTAATTTTAAACAGTTTATCGCTAATGTTGCCGTCACCATTGAACATTTTGTACATGGAGATCATATCCCCCCTTAATCTCCTCACCTCCAATGTGAACATGTTTAAATTTAGTAGCCTTGTCTCGTAGCTCTGGTCCTCCATACCCCTAATTAGTTTGGTTGCCCTCCGCTGGACTTTTTCCAGCTCGAGGACATCTTTTCTTAGTACTGGTGACCAGAACTGGACCGCGTACTCCAGATGAGGTCGAACCAATGATCTATATAGAGGCAAATTATAGACTTGTCCCTGCAATACATCCCCTTTTTAATACAGGACAAGACCCTACTAGCTTTGGTTTATGGTTTATTTTTAACATATTTTCCGGGGTAAAATGGAACTCCAGCTTTGTTTCTTCCTCCCTCCTCCCCCCCTATGAAGAAACAAAAATGTTCTTCCTACCTTCTCCATCCTCCAGCACTGTCCTAGAGTCTTGTGTCAGTCCAGCACAGGCAGTCCTCTACAGGGCAGAACGACAGTCATGTCATTCTGCCCATTTCATTTGATCCTGGCCTGTCATTTACATGCTCCCCTATAGGGCACATCAGCTGTGCTCCCAGTACTCCAATACTGAGCAGCGCTCACACATTATCACAAGAGTGCCACTCAGTCCTGAATGAATGCCTGCCCCCTACTGCCACCCGAAGAAGAGGGGAAAGTCCTGGTAAACTCCCAGTGAAAGGGCTACAGGTAAAAAGGAAGGTTATGGAATTTAGGGAGAGAAGTGCACTGGGGGGAGGAAGCTAGGTGCAGGGTACCTTACATTGGAGTTCCACTTTAAGCCTCTCAGTACTGACGGGCTTCGGGTCTAAAATGTAGAAACCAAATTGTTGCCTGCAAATACCCTTTTTGACATTTTTTTTTTTTGCAGCTTGGGTTCCCTGAGTCTGTGGCTGCTGTAATCGGCAAACTTTGACGCTATATAGCAAAATGTTGGTGGTCTCCGGGCCCCTCTGATGCCGTGCAGGCTGGGCCGTCATTGAAGTGGCACGGAGGCTCCGGGGCTGCCTCTCACTGACTCAAGCAGCGGCTGTCACAAGGAATGCACGGCTCTCAGTACAGTGCGGGCTCTGCAGGAGGCGTGGGCATCTCGTCAGTACCCGGACTGGCACGGGGGTGGTTGGGGGCAGTGCTGAAGCTAGGGGGGGCATGTGCGCTGCTGGCAGGGCCAGTGGCAGGTTCGATATGGGGGGGGAAACAATTAATATTGCCGGGGCGGGCGGCACCGCTACCTCCCTCCACCAGCACTGCAACTCCTGCAGGCACACCCGAACCTATATGTGTGTGTGTATGTATATATAGATATAGTCTTATATTTTTTGTTTCCTCTTATATAAATATATTCGTGTGTGTACACACACACACGCACTTATGTGTATATAACGCTTTCCCTTTGAGATTCGGAATTGGAACTCATTGAAAATATACTGTAGTTATTTATTATAATTGAAACCAGTTTTCTTTTTGTATCTGCGGTTCCATTTATTAAGTTAATTTCAGGTCATAAAATCCACCTGGTAATCCTGACAAAGTTTTAGATTTTATTGATTTGTAACGAAACCCGTGTGTTCCTAGGTGGAAGACGAGGTGTTTAAGGAGTTCTGCGAGGAGATTGGTGTCCGTAACATCCGAGAGTTCGAAGAGGAGAAGGTCAAGAGACAGAACGAGATTGCAAAGAAGAGGTATGTTCTTTTGGTGACGGGGGTTATACATGGAGCATTTTCTTCATTTATTTTTTATAATAAGTATTTTTATTTTTTACTTTTAGGGGCTTCAGGGAAATATTAAGCATCTAAACAGACCCCTGATATTTCCCTTTTTAAAATAGAGATTGAGAACACAAAGACCTCAATCTCTTCTGCAGCCCCTGTTATCAATGAACAGGAATCCTCTATACTGAGTGTTCCTGATCATTCATAACATGAGGACAGAGTGTGTTTACTATAACCACAATCATGAATGAACAGGAAGTGATGTAGATGTGATGTAGATCACTTCCCATTCATTCATCACTGAGGTTATAGTAACCATACCATATCAATTATCTACAAATACTCAGCGATCACCGACTGCTTGTACCCGCTCTCCATCCTGACACGCTGTCACAGGAGGCTGGGCAAGCGGAGAGGAGAGCTTAGCCTCCTGTTACAGCGCTGGCTGCCTCCGGCCACACCGCTCTGCCGATCTGTGACAGGAGGCTGAGCGGTGAGGGGAGGAGAGACGCCGGCCGCTCACAGCACTCTCCTCCTGCAGCGCTCGGCCGCCTGTGACACTTTCTCTCCTCCCTGCTGGGACACAGAGCAGCGCCCAGCGGGGAGGAAAGAATTCACGATTGCGCCACTATAGGGGCAGAAAAATGGCACTTTCGGCATTTAGCCTAAAGTGCCTTTTTCGGCGGCCGATATATCGGCGCATCCCTAATTGTAACATATATACCTTTTCCCTACCTACAGGTTGGAGTTTGAGAACCAAAAGACCCGTCTGGGTATCCAACTTGATTATGAGAAGAACCAGCTGAAAGAGGACCAAGGGAAAGTTCAGCAGTGGGAGCAGTCTGTGAAGAAAGATGAAAATGAAATAGAAAAACTTAAAAAGGTGACTATATAAGATTCTGTATTTGTTGTAAATTTGACAGGAGGTCTGAGGTATTGAAAACGTTGACAACTTTTTCAATCGTCGATTTATAATCGACTTGGTCGATTAGTTGTTGCAGCCCTAGTTTAAATGGATGCCATGTACAGTATGTAAAATGTATTGTGGATTGTTGGCCCTATACAAATGCCTGTAGTAATAGTACCTTCAGATGGGATATAGTCCTAAGCCCCATGTATGTTCCTCGTTGGCATGCAGATTACGCAGGACTTGCCTTCTTACTCCCATGGGTGAATGGAGCGGTTGGGAAAGATGGGTAAATATAAGCAGCTGCGGGTGGGCTTCCATTAAAGTGAACCTGTTGCTTTTACCTGCAACGGCAAAGCTTGCGTTTTTTATTTGACCCCTTTTTGCATTTGTTTGCTGATCTTCGTGAGTACTATGAACCTGTAAGCGCTCATCCTTTAGCACCTCCAGGTTCAGGGCTGTAAAACCCCAGCAGCCTGTGCTCAATCAGCTTTAGCAGAGGCGGTCTTTCATATTTTACCAAGTTTGGTATTCTGTTTTGCATGCACCAAAATTAATTTTCACTGAAATTATAGATTTGATAAACAGAAGCCCAAATATCATGCGACCTAAAAAAATTCAACTGCCACCATTTAATTTTACAGGGTCTCCTTTTTTTTTTTATTTTTTTATTTTTTTTTTTATTATAGATTTTTGTTTTGGGGGTTTTCGGTAATCTTCCAGACTAAAATATAAATTTATTTTTTTAATCAAATTCATTTTTTATTGATTTTTTCAATAGTTTTTTTGAAAGCAGGCGAAGTATACAATAATTTGAACATTATGTTACAACACAGTAATTTAAAATAGAGGTGTAGAACATTCAATGTTGCATTTATAACTAGTAATATTTATAGTTTACATCAAGATATGCAACTTCTTATTAACATGTGTGGTCTACTGGAGACTCTAAAATATACATTTTAACATGTGTGCAATAAATGAATTTTGTTGTCTGAAGCCAAAAGGTTAAAACACGAAAGGAGCTGCCTAAGGTTGCCTGAATTGCTTAATATGTGTGTTGATTTCACTGTTTTCGCTTCCAGGAGGAGCAAAGGCACATGAAGATCATAGATGAGACGATGGCGCAGCTGCAAGATCTGAAAAACCAGCACCTGGCCAAGAAGTCGGAGGTCAATGACAAGAACCATCTCATGGAGGAGATCCGCAAGAAGCTAGGGGGTGCCAACAAGTCAGTATCCCTATAACTTAAATAGTTGTAGATAATGGTTTTAAAAGAAGAGTTAAAGGAGAACTATGAGGGGGGAGGGGCTTTTCACTCACCTCATAGTTCTAGCCGACCTGTGACAATGAGACTGTCGCAGGTCGGCTCAGTAGATCGGGAGGTGAGTGAACACATACCGGCGTTCGCTCACCTCTCGATCCTGTCACAGCTCTCTGCCATGACAGGTGAGGGGCTGGATTCCCCCCTCCGATCCTCCAGCGCTGACTGGCGGAACGGACGGGGCAGGGGGCGGGTACAGCTGGCTCTAGATAGGCAGAGCCAGCTGTCAGTCACGCAGCTGGGCGGATCCAGACATAATTGTCGCGACCCGCTTCAGCTGCGGCATCTCAGTATACAGCTCGCGGTATACTGAGCCTAAGGTGAAGGGAGGACGCTGGTTTGTGTCCTCCCGTTACCCTAAGGAGAACTATGGGGAAAAGCCTTAACCCCATAGTTCTCCTTTAACTCTGCAGTTGGTGCCCAGTTGTGAGGAGAGCACCTACAAAAGCCCCCCAATGATACCTACCGTCACATGGGCTCTGCAGCTCTCTCCTCCCCGCTGGAAGCCCACTGCATGCTGAGGCCT